CACGTACTAGCACTTAAATTTCCTGGCTGGAAAACTGTTCCTTGAAGAGCTAGGTCATTTTCAAAGAAAGGAGGAAATTGTTCATTTTCGTTCATGCAAAGTTTATGATGGTTCACGCTATTTCGCGCAACATTAATGCAGCAATCACTCATACGGATGCGGCCTGTTCGCTTCAAGTTTAGTGCAAAAACGTATGACCACACGGGCAAACCTGGTACAAATCACTGCTGGGTTTATCTTAATGCTATATTTTTTCTGAAATTTCTTTGCTAACGCCAAGAAAAAATTCTTCAAAGTCCAAATGGCACTTTCAGCTCGATGAATTTAAATTAAGTTTTGCGCATATATGTTTACTTTCTGTTAAAACGTTTCCCTCACATTCTCCTTGACCCAACTTGAACCCACATCTCACCATTCTTTTACGTTTTCGCCTTTCCTAACTGTTCAAATTTCCGCCTAAACCTGTCTCAAGAACAGAATTATATGCACATTTTGTGCATAACACGTAGAGAGCTATATTGATGATTTCTGATCCCATTTGCACGTGTGTATTTACAATTAAGGGAAAAATGAGAAACGGAAATTGCACTATGACTTGATCGTTGCTTAAATGCAGCATCTTCATGCAATATCTCAGTCTTTCTAATCTCCGTTCGTTAACATTCAGGATAAAATAGGAATGTCCAGGTCTGTTCATCGTAAGAAGAATGAAGTGAGTGAATTGTAATTTAATGACGACTAACAGGACGCGGCGGTTGACCTTCAATGACCTTCTCTACCGGTGTGGACCACTGGCGCACGGTTGTTTCAACTTTTGTTGACATTGTACTGTTTTTGATATTACTGCTTCCAGTTTTTGTCGTCGTCCAGTGACGTTGTGTGGTTATGCCTGAAAAAATTTTAGGCTATTCAAGAAGCAACCGCAAGTTATTTGGGATACTTGGGTCTGTAGTCGGTGCAAATCGTCTCACTGTGGTCTGAATGTGGCAACGTCCGAAGATGCAGTGGTAAAGCTCAACACTGACCAGGGACATTTCAAAGCGACTAAAGCCTTGTCTGGTGCTTCTATCAAGAGGAATGTTGAGCTGGTAAAAAATCCCTCGAGAGAAAAAAGTTTGTCAGGGTCGTTAGCGGAGCTTATTCAACAAGCGAAATGAGCAATACTGGTTAACGAAATTGGAAAACTGCAATTGAAAAGCAATCTGCAGTATTCTAATTATTTTACATATCAAGTGAAGTCGGAACTGAAAAATAAAAAATACACAAACGCACAAAAAGCGAAGCTCTTGTTCTAAAAATGCATGACAAGTTTTATCTTACAGTAAAGTCCATAGAATTCATGTGTTCTCGTTCATACTGTACTAAGCGACGTCGATAAATCAACGTATCAAAGTAATATTTTTTACTACAAGGTTCTTAACATTTATTTGCCAATGAGCGTACCTTAAGAATTTGTAATAAAGTAGGTAATCGTGGTCAGTTGTACGGGTCAGTACAACTGTAATGTAAATACTAAGATATTCATGTGTGTTTCATATTAGCGATGTTACTGAGTTGCCCGCATGTACTGAATTCAGATATATTAAGCTTCGACCGTCTAGTGAATATGAAGCGAAAAAATGAATTGAATAGTGACTACCAAGAACGTCGTCGTTCGATGAGCCGAACTGTTGGTTAAGCAGCTGAGGTGGTGGAACACTTGGTAATGGTGGCGGTGTTGAATCCGGTTGCCCTCTTTCGGGCTCAACGTTCTCGACGCTACTTGTTGAAGAAGAGTCGCTACTGTTTTGAAAGTTGGATGACTTCGCTTCGAGTCGCTCCGGCTTTTGCGCTACAACAAAAAAAAACCTTACAAGAGTAGTAATATGTTAAAAGAAGTCTAAAGGCGCTTCCTGAAACGGAAA